GACATAATGATATAATATGCGTTGAATACATTTACAGGGCTGTACAGTACATAAATCAGGAGGTGTTTATATGTATGTATGTTTGTATGCATGTATGTTTGTATGTATTTTCTGCCTCATTTACACACAGTTGCAGGGTCTCAATTGTTTGTCTTACTTCGCCAACACAACACTATACAGTATATCGTTTCTCACTTTTGATTTGTTTTCAATTTTGTATGTATTTATTGTTCTTTGTTATTATTATTATTATTATTATTATTATTATTATTATTATTATTATTATTATTATTATTATTATTATTATTATTATTATTATTATATTATTATTATTTTTATTATTATTATTATTATTATTATTGTTGTTGCTAAGCTATATATTTGCTCCTCAGGCTCATATGTTGGATTGGGCATATATATATATATATATATATATATATATATATATATATATATATATATATATATATATATATATATATATATATATATATATATATACATAAAATAATTCGTAAGTCTAATGAAATGTTACTTAAATATTATTTCACTGTTGTAAGTGAATGGCAGTCTGTAAGTCAGTCACTTATCTACTGAGCATTGTCCTTACTTATATTAGAGTCCAGTCCTCATATCTGAGGGTTGTCGACCACAGTCCACCACTCTAAACGTTCTCGGGCTGTTTCTGAGGGTTGTCGACCACAGTCCACAGCTGTTTCTGAGGTTGTCGACCACAGTCCATCACTCTAAACGTTCTCGGCTGTTTCTGAGGGTTGTCGACCAGTCCTCCACTCTAAACGTTCTCAGGTTGTTTTTGAGGGTTGTCGACCACAGTCCTCCTCTAAACGTTCTCGGGTTGTTTCTGAGGGTTGTCGGCCACAGTCCTCCACTCTAAACGTTCTCGGGTTGTTTCTGAGGGTTGTCGGCCACAGTCCTCCACTCTAAACGTTCTCGGTTGTTTCTGAGGGTTGTCGGCCACAGTCCACCACTCTAAACGTTCTCGGGCTGTTTCTGAGGGTTGTCGACCACAGTCCTCCACTCTAAACGTTCTCGGGTTGTTTCGAGGGTTGTCGACCACAGTCCACCACTCTAAACGTTCTCGGCTGTTTCTGAGGGTTGTCGACCACAGTCCATCGGTCTAAACGTTCCACTCTAAACGTTCTCGGGTTGTTTCGAGTCCACCACTCTAAACGTTCCGGCAACCACAGTCCAAACGTTCTCGGGCTGTTTCTGAGGGTTGTCGACCACAAAACGTTCCCGGGCTGTTTGAGGGTTGTCGACCACAGTCCTCAGAGGTTATCGACTCCACCAAATCGTTCTCGGCTGTTTCGAGGTTGTCGACCACAGTCCTCCTCTAAACGTTCTCGGCTGTTTCTGTGGGTTGTCGACCACAGTCCCCACTCTAAACGTTCCCGGCTGTTTCTGAGGGTTGTCGACACCTCCATTCTAAACGTTCCCGGTGTTTCTGAGGTTGTCGACCACAGTCCACCACTCAAACGTTCTCGGCTGTTTCTGAGGGTTGTCGACCAGTCCTCCACTCTAAACGTTCTCCGGCTGTTTCTGTGGGTTGTCGACCACAGTCCACCACTCTAAACGTTCCCGGGCTGTTTCTGAGGGTTGTCGACCACAGTCCTCCATTCTAAACGTTCTCGGGTTGTTTCTGAGGGTTGTCGACCACAGTCCTCCACTCTAAACGTTCTCGGCTGTTTCTGAGGGTTGTCGACCACATCCTCCACTCTAAACGTTCTCGGCTGTTTCTGAGGGTTGTCGACCACAGTCCTCCACTCTAAACGTTCTCGGGCTGTTTCTGAGGGTTGTCGACCACAGTCCACCACTCTAAACGTTCTCGGCTGTTTCTGAGGGTTGTCGACCCAGTCCTCCAGTTCTCTGTTTCTGAGGGTTGTCGACCACAGTCCTCCAAACGTTCTCGGCTGTTTCGAGGGTTGTCGACCACAGTGAGGCTGTTTCTGAGGGTTGTCGACCACAGTCCTCATATCCGACTGTCCACCACTCTAAACGTTCCCGGGCTGTTTCTGAGGGTTGTCGACCACAGTCCACCACTCTAAACGTTCCCGGGCTGTTTCTGAAGGTTGTCGACCACAGTCCACCACTCTAAACGTTCCCGGTTGTTTCTGAGTTGTCGACCACAGTCCTACACTCTAAACGTTCTCGGGCTGTTTCTAGGTTGTCGACCACAGTCCACCACCAAACGTTCCCGGGCTGTTTCGAGGGTTGTCGACCACAGTCCACCACTCTAAACGTTCTCGGCTGTTTCTGAGGTTGTCGACCACAGTCCACCACTCTAAACGTTCCCGGCTGTTTCTGAAGGTTGTCGACCACAGTCCACCACTCTAAACGTTCCCGGGTTGTTTCTGAGGGTTGTCGACCACAGTCCCACACTCTAAACGTTCTCGGGTTGTTTCTGAGGGGTTGTCGACCAGTCCTCCACTCTAAACGTTCTCGGGTGTTTCTGAGGGTTGTCGACCACAATCCTCCACTCTAAACGTTCCCGGGCTGTTTCTGAGGGTTGTCGACCACAGTCCACCACTCTATACGTTTCCGGGCTGTTTCTGAGGGTTGTCGACCACAGTCCACCACTCTATACGTTTCCGGGCTGTTTCTGAGGGTTGTCGACCACAGTCCTCCACTCTAAACGTTCTCGGGCTGTTCTTTTTCACTCCTCTAAGGTTTTGTGTCTCTCTGGGGGCCCAGTTTTTAATTTCCTTCATCCATCCCAGTCTCTGCCTTCCCCTGGCCCATTAATATTTATGTTATTATTCTATCATCCATAATTATTTGACCAAAATATATAAATTTTCTGTTTCTGAACATTTCAGTATTTCTCTTGACGTGTTTGCTAATCTTAGTACTTCTTCATTTGTTGTTCTGTCAGTGTAGCTTATTCTTAACGTTCGCATACTTGTATGACGTAAGCGGTGTGTATTGTTACTTATTATTAACAGTTATTACTTTACGTTTATCAATTAATATTATTTAACTTCAGCTTATTTATAAATAAAAAAGTAATTCATCATCGTATTTATATATATTTATTATTATTATTTTGTTACGGGGATTAGCCCACCCAAAAGAAATACAAGAATGAAAAAAAAAGATCAGTAGTGAGAAATAATATATGTATGTTGTGTTGTCAAAGTAAGAGAAACAATTGAGACCCTGCAGTTGTGTGTAAATGAGGCAGGAAGTCACATGATCAACCTGGGACTTGGTCATATGTGGCAGCAGGGTCTACCAACATCTTCCCAGGCGGTAGTACCTCCCTGTTTGTTTTGTTTTGTTTTTTGTTTTTTGAAAATGGCCTCCAGCCTCCCCCAATAGCCATTCCTTCGCCACCATTTTATTACCTTAATATTAAATATCCTAATACATAAGTAGCTATCCTAGCTGTGTTGGGTTAGTTGAGCCGCAGATCTATGTGGCATTCAGTGACTGTAGCCTCATAGTCAATATCTGCAACTGTTGTCAGCTTTGGGGCCGATGCTCTCGTTCCCTTAGGCAGAGCAAAGCAGATCTAAGGAGAGAGAAGGACAGTCGACATCTCATCCAGGCTGTAACATAACGTCTGGGCTGCTGCTTCTGTTCGGAGATCACCTCCGCGAGTCTGGCGTAGAAGCATCTTGCACTTGGTCCTATCCCACCAGAGGTTGTGAACACTAGAGGAGTGAAGCTGCCTTGATCAATGTTCTGAATTCTCTCCCCTTATGCCCTTATCTTGTCGTTCTCGTTCCTCCTGTGTGCAGCATCGAGAGCTAAGTTACGGTGACATGCGGCCATGGGATCAAAAATTCTGATGTCGAAGAAGGCTCGCTGTCCCCGCGTCCAGAATCCTCGAGCACTGACGTCAACACGGGCTTCGTTGGATGTGTTTGAAGTCCTATATTGGAAATTCTCACCGTTCAATGGAAGGAGGAGGGTCTGTTCTACTCTGAAATCACGGCAGATTTCCTTCAACATATTTGCTGTGAGATCCCTTACTTCGTCATGCCTCATGCATATGAAGCCCCCTTTCTTGGTAGCTGCCTTATGTCAATCACTTACTTTACAAAGTTGTCTGTCTATCTATCTGTCTTTTTATGAAAATAGATAGAAAGATAGATAGATAGATAGATAGATATGTAAATTATAACTTTTTAAAGTGTTTAAGTAAATAATTAATAAAATTAATAAAAATATTGAAAAGTGTATTAATTTTACGTATTTTAGTACTTAAGTAATTATATAGGTTGAAATATAGGGTCGCATTTACTTATTATAATAGCTAAATTACTTAAAATTGAAGAAATATTGATATAATTTACTTACAAACAAATATCAAGCAAATCTGTTAAGTAGCAAATAATGAATGTTAAGTAATAAATTTAAGTATTAAGTGTAAAATAATAAATATAGGTATTAAATGGTAAGTAAATAAGAATGGGCAAAAGTAGTGATTTTAAGATCCAGATATACTTAAAGCTACTTATGATCGCGGAGGAGTATTACGCGGTCATTGAAAAATAAAAATAGTTACTTATGGTTCATCGTTTTGGTCAATGATCGACGTAATTTAAATATAAGTAAAAAGAAATGATTAGAAGTAATAATTTCTTCGTGCGGGATCAATTTTAGACTACTTGTAATCGCGGAAGAGTAGCAGAGATGACGGTATGGCGGTCATCTAAAAAATATAACTTTTAATAGTATTTATAAGCAATTTAAGTAAAAAACGGTTACTGCATGGTCCGGATCTACGTACATATACTTATAATCGCGGTGGTTTGGTGAGAAGCGGCGTCGATGAGGTGGATTGTGAAAAAAAACTCAAATGTATTTATGAGAACGAATGGCAAAAATTAATAATTTTAGTGTCTCGAACTACTTTAAAAGTTACTTATAATCGCGGAGGAGTGAACGGGAAGGCGTCGGTAAGGCGGTCATCGATTAGTTGGGACCCACGATGGTGTATTCTTCCGCGCTGTTCTGAGAGAGAGAGGACTCGGGAGTCGAGTCTCTCTCACAGTGTGTTAAAGGCAGGCACAGGGCCGAGTAGTGACAAGGGGTTCGACAGGTCGGTCCGATATTTTCGACGTCCGCGACGCTTTTGCGGTTTTTTATCCCGACGTACGTTATTCAACCGGCAAGCTGTGGGCTTCAAGTGTATTTCCCCTGCCGGCGCAGGTTCAACCGGCATATTACCCGGTGAGTTATAGCTGAAATAACCATCTTTGTGAGACTACCCCCAGCTAGCATTAGGTAGACATCTTGGGTGATGCATAGCTGAGGTGACTTCAAATACCTTTTCTTCGTTTTAATATACTTGTACCTCATATTCCACCCATATGAGTATTTAAAGAGTATGTATGTGTCAGTTAGGATCGTGTTAATATATGTAGTGGGAGTAATAATGGAGGAAAAGTGAACAGTAAGCTTACAAAAGCGAAGCGTGAAGCGTACTATTAACGATGCATCCTGAAGGCGGGTTAAATAATTCCACTTTTCCTTCGTTTTTGGTCGTTTATTCCTCGCATTTCACCCTTATGAGTAGATAGGAGTGTTTGTGAATAATCCATGGCCACTGTGTGTGAGTATTGTGAGTAATATGGAATGAAATAATAAATAATGGTCGTAGAAATGAGAATCGTGATGCGTATTACTTGCGTGGTTCGTTGTGGTGCCTTGTAATACTCATATTCTTGTTTTATAAGTGATCATGAGTAAGTAAGCACAAATGTGAGGTTTATTTAAGTGAGTATTGTAAGTAGAAATGAATAGTACACTGTATTGGTGAAGAAAAGTGATTTGAAATCTATACGATGATTCATAAATACGTTTCAGTGGTTTATCCATCATTATTCACCCCCATGAGTATTTATGAGTGAGTATGAGTACGTTAGAACGTCTGTGAGGTTTATTCACATGTGTATTGTGAGTAAAATTTGAATACATGTTGAATAATATCCGTAAATCGTCATACGATCGTTGATGGGTTTATCCAATAAGTGGTATGTCTCATTCTTACTCATATTTACTCGTCAATAAACGTAAGGATATGGGGTTATACTCACAAAAATATTATGAGTAAGGACCATATTCATAGGCTCATAAATTTAACATTAAGAAAAAAAATTGAACAGATAGATTATAAGTTGAAACGTTGCTTCAAATTAGCTTGGGGGGATCTTACTCATTTTACTCAACTTGCTTGTGAGTAAACCTGAATGAGTGAGGGGATTACCCCAGTTGAGTGTTCTGAGCAAGCACCATATTGCAAGCTTGGATTAGCAATTTGTTAAGAAACAATCGTAATAAATCTTGTTTTTGAAGCCAAAGTTTTTTAGATCTTTATTATTACGTATAAAAGTTAATTACAATCATCATATTAGTGAATTAATACTCATAATACATTACTTATACTTGTCATATACAATTAACCATATGATAACATTTAACCCTTTTACGTTATTGTTAATATTTTTATTATTTACTGATCGTTATATATAGTTATCTAATTTTTATTTAGGATCAAGTATTCTTCGGCAAATAGTTTATCAAATTCACAATCTTTTAATAAGTAAGGCTGTGGGTTTATGTAACTCAGTGTGAATAGGTTGATGATTCGGTAGTTGTGGTAGATTATGTTATTAGTAGTTGTGTTAGATTGTGGTAGCAGTAGTTGTGGTAGATTGTAGTACTAGTAGTTGTGGTAGATTATTAGTAGTTGTGGTAGATTGTGGTAACAGTAGTTGTGGTAGATTGTACTACTAGCAGTTGTGGTAGATTGTAGTAGTACTAGTAGTTGTGATAGATTGAATTGTGGTAGATTATGGTAGTAGTAGTTGTGGTAGAATATGGTGGTAGTAGTAGTGGTAGATTGTGGTAGCAGTAGTTGTGGTAGATTGTAGTACTAGTAGTGGTAGATTGTAGTACTAGTAGTTGTGGTAGATTGTAGTACTAGTAGTTGTGTTAGATTGTGGTAGCATTAGTTGTGGTAGATTGTAGTACTAGTAGTTGTGGTAGATTGAATTGTGGTAGATTATGGTAGTAGTAGTTGTGGTATAATATGGTAGTAGTAGTAGTTGTGGTAGATTGTAGCACTAGTAGTTGTGGTAGATTGTAGCACTAGTAGTAGTTGTGGTAGATTGTAATACTGGTAGGTGTGGTAGAATATGGTAGTAGTAGTAGTTGTGGTAGATTGTAGTAGATTGTAGTACTAGTAGTTGTGGTAGATTGTAGCACTAGTAGTAGTGGGAGATGGTAGCACTAGTAGTAGTGGTAGATTGTAGTACTAGTAGTAGTGGTAGATTGTAGTACTAGTAGTTGTGGTAGATTGTAGCACTAGTAGTAGTGGTAGATTGTAGCACTAGTAGTTGTGGTAGATTGTAGCACTAGTAGTTGTGGTAGATTGTAGCACTAGTAGTAGTTGTGGTAGATTGTAGTACTGGTAGGTGTGGTAGAATATGGTAGTAGTAGTAGTTGTGGTAGATTGTAGTACTAGTAGTTGTGGTAGATTGTAGCTCTAGTAGTTGTGGTAGATTGTAGCACTAGTAGTTGTGGTAGATTGTAGCACTAGTAGTAGTGGTAGATTGTAGCTCTAGTAGTTGTGGTAGAGCACTAGTAGTAGTGGTAGTATTGTAGCACTAGTAGTAGTTGTAGTACTAGTAGTAGTAATAGATTGTAGCACTAGTAGTAGTGGTAGATTGTAGCACTAGTAGTAGTGGTAGATTGTAGCACTAGTAGTAGTGGTAGATTGTAGCACTAGTAGTTGTGGTAGATTGTAGCACTAGTAGTTGTGGTAGATTGTAGCACTAGTAGTAGTTGTGGTAGATTGTAGTACTGGTAGGTGTGGTAGAATATGGTAGTAGTAGTAGTTGTGGTAGATTGTAGTACTAGTTGTGGTAGATTGTAGCACTAGTAGTTGTGGTAGATTGTAGTACTAGTAGTAGTGGTAGATTGTAGCACTAGTAGTTGTGGTAGATTGTAGCACTAGTAGTAGTGGTAGATTGTAGCACTAGTAGTAGTGGTAGATTGTAGCACTAGTAGTTGTGGTAGATTGTAGCACTAGTAGTTGTGGTAGATTGTAGCACTAGTAGTAGTTGTGGTAGATTGTAGTACTGGTAGGTGTGGTAGAATATGGTAGTAGTAGTACTTGTGGTAGATTGTAGTACACTAGTAGTTGTGGTAGATTGTAGCACTAGTAGTTGTGGTAGATAGTAGTTGCACACTAGTAGTTGTGGTAGATTGTAGCACTAGTAGTTGTGGTAGATTGTAGCACTAGTAGTTGTGGTAGTAGTTGTAGCACTAGTAGTTGTGGTAGATTATAGTACTAGTAGTTGTGGTATATTGTAGCACTAGTAGTAGTGGTAGAATGTAGCACTAGTAGTTGTGGTAGATTGTAGCACTAGTAGTTGTGGTAGATTGTAACAATAGTAGTAGTGGTAGATTGTAGCACTAGTAGTAGTGGTAGATTGTAGCACTAGTAGTTGTGGTAGATTGTAGCACTAGTAGTAGTGGTAGATTGTAGCGCTAGTAGTAGTGGTAGATTGTAGCACTAGTAGTAGTGGTAGATTGTAGCACTAGTAGTTGTGGTAGATTGTAGCACTAGTAGTATTGGTAGATTGTAGCACTAGTAGTAATGGTAGATTGTAGCACTAGTAGTTGTGGTAGATTGTAGTACTAGTAGTTGTGGTAGATTGTAGTACTAGTAGTTGTGGTAGATTGTTGTAGTACTAGTAGTTGTGGTAGATTGTAGCACTAGTAGTAGTGGTAGATTGTAGCACTAGTAGTTGTGGTAGATTGTAGTACTAGTAGTTGTGGTAGATTGTAGTACTAGTAGTTGTGGTAGATTGTAGTACTAGTAGTTGTGGTAGATTGTAGTACTAGTAGTTGTGGTAGATTGTAGCACTAGTAGTAGTGGTAGATTGTAGTACTAGTAGTTGTGGTAGATTGTAGTACTAGTAGTTGTGGTAGATTGTAGCACTAGTAGTAGTGGTAGTACTAGTAGTTGTGGTAGCTATAGAGAGAGAGAGAGAGGCACGCTGCCCAACCACGCCTTGTGGCTGTCCCCCCTCCACACCTTCCTCCCTCCCTCCCCTTTCTCATGCTCTTTCCTTGTCTAGGCGCGCCAAACTGCCCGCGTGGCTCTCTCTCTCTCTCTCTCTCTCTCATAAGAACATAAGAATGGAGGAAACTGCAGCGGGCCTATTGGCCCATACTGGGCAGTCCCGTTTACACCCAACCCCTATTGCTCATATAAGCATCCAACCTATGTTTGAAGCTATTCAGCGTATTCGAGTTAATGATGATATTAGGTAACTTGGTAACTCTCTCTCTCTCTCTCTCTCTCTCTCTCTCTCTCTCTCTCTCTCTCTCTCTCTCTCTCTCTCTACACCGTGTTCTAATAAGCGTATGTAGGTCTCCAATCATCAAGGGTTTGAATTACTTTAAATTATGTTCCAATCATCTTATAGGGCCTTCCAATCACTGACTGGACCTGACCTGACCTGACCTCCATCGCCTTGAGAAATGTCGTGTTTGATCTGACCTAGGTTTAACCTGACCTCACGGTACTAACACGTGATCTTTCTCTCAGTGCTGTATATATGGGTACATGGGTAATATGCACGCATGAGTAATGTGTGTACATATATGGGTAAAGTGTGTGCATTGGGTGATGAATACATGGGGAATACGTGGATGTTATGTGTACATGAGCGATGTGCGTACATAAGAATGGAACTTAAAGAACTTAGGAATGGAGGAAACTGCAGCGGGCCTATTGTCCCATACTGGGGAGTCCCGTTTACACCCAACCCCTATCGCTCATATATCCACCCAACCTGTGTTTGAAGCTATCCAGCGTATTGCGTCAATGATGATGTTTGGTAACTTGGTAACTCATCCACTACTCTATTTCCAAACATTATGTGCACATGAGCGAAACTACACGAAATACTTTTAAACGTGTATTCGAACGTACTAAATTACTTATCAATGGGATAAGTACTTATATAAGTGTTTCTATGGGTAGTGTGAAGTATAAAGTAGGTTTAGGAGGTACTTATATATTTGTAAGCGAGTTAATTACTTAAATAATTATACATGATTTAAGTACATCAATAAGTGTATAAGGGAAGTGTTAAGTACATCAATAAGTGTGTCTGGGAAGTGTTAAGTACATCAATAAGTGTATCTGGGAAGTGTTAAGTACATCAATAAGTGTATCTGGGAAGTGTTAAGTATATCAATAAGTGTATCGGAAGTGTTAAGTTCATCAATAAGTGTATCTGGGAAGTGTTAAGTATATCAATAAGTGTATCGGAAGTGTTAAGTTCATCAATAAGTGTATTTGGGAAGTGTTAAGCAGGACAAAACCCACTTGGACAAAAAACCCTTGGACAAAACCCCCTCAAGTAAAGTGTAAAATAGGACAAAACTCCTTATTTAGAGTACAAAAAATAGGACAAAACCTCTTATGTTTATCTATTTTCAGACTAAGTCCAGAGGCAGACCTGCACCTATCATTACAGACAACCCCCTCCCCCTCCCCCTAGGAAAAAAATATACCATAATTTTTATTCCTTTTATTGTTTATGGACACATCTCTGACATGTAAAATATTAAATTTATTATATCATAAGACTAACCTAAACCCCCCCCTCTAAATAAGTTTTTTTTCCGCTTTTGCACTTTTCTTGAGGGGGTTTTTGTCCCGACCACCCGCATTACTGTAGATCGTTGGTGTGTGGATATTTTAGGCCTGGTACCCCTCTGTTGTCTCTCTCTCTATCAGTAATATTTCTATATTTCACTCTAAATAATAATAATAATAATAATAATAATAATAATAATAATCATAATAATAAATAGTAATAATAATAATTTCTCTTTTCAGGTAAGCCCAGTACATCCTTATGGCGATGATTATGTGAGTATTATTATAAGTGTGGTGGGTTGTGATGGTGGTAGGTTGTGGTGGGTTGTGATGGTGGTAGATTGTGGTGGGTTGTGATGGTAGTAGGTTGTGGTGGGTTGTGATGGTAGTAGGTTGTGGTGGGTTGTGATGGTAGTAGGTTGTGGTGGGTTGTGATGGTGGTAGGTTGTGATGTAGGTTGTAGGTTGTGATGGTGATAGATTGTGGTGGGTTGTGATGGTGGTAGGTTGTGGTGGGTTGTGATGGTGGTAGGTTGTGGTGTTGTGATGGTAGTAGGTTGTGATGGTGGGCTGTGTGATGGTGGTAGGTTGTGGTGGGTTGTGATGGTAGTAGGTTGTGGTGGGTTGTGATGGTGGTAGGTTGTGGTTGTCCGTTGTGATGGTGGTAGGTTGTGGTGGGTTGTGATGGTAGTAGGTTGTGGTGGGTTGTGATGGTAGTAGGTTGTGGTGGGCTGTGATGGTAGTCGGTTGTGGTAGGTTGTGATGGTAGTCGATTGTGGTGGGTTGTGATGGTAGTAGGTTGTGGTGGGTTGTGATGGTAGTAGGCTGTGGTGGGTTGTGATGGTAGTAGGTTGTGGTCGTTGTGATGGTAGTAGGTTGTGGTGGGTTGTGATGGTAGTAGGTTGTGGTGGGTTGTGATGGTAGTCGGTTGTGTAGGTTGTGATGGTAGTCGGTTGTGGTGGGTTGTGATGGTCGGTTGTGATGGTAGTCGGTTGTGGTGGGTTGTGATGGTAGTAGGCTGTGGTGGGTTGTGATGGTAGTAGGTTGTGGTGGGTTGTGATGGTAGTAGGTTGTGGTTGTTCGTTGTGATGGTAGTAGGTTATGGTGGGTTGTGATGGTAGTAGGTTGTGATGTGATTTGTGATGGTAGTCGGTTGTGGTGGGTTGTGATGGTAGTCGGTTGTGGTGGGTTGTGATGGTAGTAGGTGGTGGGTTGTGATGGTAGTAGGTTGTGGTGGGTTGTGATGGTAGTAGGTTGCGGTTGTTCGTTGTGATGGTAGTAGGTTGTGGTGGGTTGTGATGGTAGTAGGTTGTGGTGGGTTGTGGTGGTAGTAGGTTGTGGTTGTTCGTTGTGATGGTAGTAGATTGTGGTGGGTTGTGATGATAGTAGGTTGTGGGTGTTGTTCGTTGTGATGGTAGTAGGTTGTGGTGGGTTGTGATGGTAGTAGGTTGTGGTGGGTTGTGTGATGGTAGTAGGTTGTGGTGGGTTGTGGTGGTAGTAGGTTGTGGTTGTTCGTTGTGATGGTAGTAGGTTGTGGTGGGTTGTGATGATAGTAGGTTGTGGTTCGTTGTGAGGTAGGTTGTTGGTTGTGGTGTATGGTAGTAGGTTGTTCGTTGATGGTAGTAGGTTGTTTCGTTGTGATGGTAGTAGGTTGTGGTGGGTTGTGATGGTAGTAGGTTGTGATGGTAGTAGGTTGTGGTGGGTTGTGATGGTAGTAGGTTGTGGTGGGTTGTGATGGTAGTAGGTTGTGGTTGTTCATTGTGATGGTAGTAGGTTGTGGTGGGTTGTGATGGTAGTAGGTTGTGGTTGTTTCGTTGTGATGGTGGTAGGGTCTTCTCTCCCCACAGCTGGCACACAACAAGCCCCACTTAAACAAAACAAGGAAATGGTTACCCGCCGCCCACCAGCTGTCTAGAGCAGGTGGCTGAACCATCTGTCTGTCTGTCTGTCATGAGTTTAAATTTGTCCTCACCTTAATTTTTTTTTATATCATTTATTTATCTTAATTTTTTAATACATAGTAGACGAAATCTGCTTGGGTAACCTTGTGTAAGTTAATGTAGGCGTGTACGTTGATAAGTGCGTAGGTGTAAGTAACCCTTTATAAGTGTATGTTCAAGTGTGTGTAGGTTTGGTGAGTGTGTAAGTAGCGCCTTTATAAGTGTGTGTGTAGGTGTTTATAAGTATCTAAGTGTAGGGGGGTGTAACTGTAAGTTTGGTAAGTGTGTAGGTGTGGCAGTAAAAACACGATGTGACTAGTTGGCAACCCTCAAGTAATAAAGAGTTTGTTCAGCTGGTTGTGAGAATCTCTCTCTCTCTCTCTCTCTCTCTCTCTCTCTCTCTCTCTCTCAAACACAAGTTTTTGCTGTTGGTCTATGAACTTGGCCTGAATGTTATTATTACGTCAGCTGTTTGGTAACTGGTTAGGTTTAGTTAAGGTTAGGTTAAGGTTTGGTTAAGGTTTGATTAAGGTTAGGTTTGGTTAAGGTTAGGTTTGGTTAAGGTTAGGTTTGGTTAAGGTTAGGCTAAGGTTAGGTTTGGTTAAGGTTAGGTTAAGGTTTGGTTAAGGTTAGGTTTGGTTAGGGTTAGGTTAAGGTTTGGTTACGGTTTGGTTTGGTTAAGGTTAGGTTTGGTTCAGGTTAGGTTTGGTTCAGGTTAGGTTTGGTTAAAGTTAGGTTAGGTTAAGGTTTAGGTTTGGTTCAGGTTAGGTTTACATGAGAACATAAGAATGGAGGAACCTGCAGCAGGCCTATTGGCCCATACTGGGCAGTCCCATTTACACCCAACCCCTATTGCTCATATAAGCATCCAACCTATGTTTGAAGCTATTCAGCGTATTCGAGTTAATGATGATATTGGTAACTTGTTCCATTCATCCACTACTCTGTTTCCAAACCAGTGTTTACCTATTTCACGCCTAAATCTAAATTTGTCTAATTTAAAACCATTGTTCTCGAGTTCGCTCCTGGTTGGATAGTTTGAGTACCTTTGTAATGTCCCCTTTGTTTAGACATAACTTCCATTTATACACCTCTATCATGTCGCCCCTCCCTCTACGTCTCTCGAGGGAGTGCACATTAAGATGCTTTAACCTGTCTCTGTACTCAAGGTTCCTAATGCCCGGGATTAGTCTTGTCCTTCTCCTCTGGATTCTTTCCAAGGATTCTACATCTATTCTGTAATACGGTGACCAGAACTGAACTGAACCTCATCTGTGTATGGTACAAGCAAAAACACATTGTTTACTTGGTTTAAGATTCCTACTTATCATTACTCCTAAATCTCTTTCGCAGTCGGATTTCACAAGGGCATCGTTGTTCATCTGGTATCTGGTTTCCCTGTTTATATCTCCTATACTGAGTACTTTACATTTGTCCACATTGAATTTCATCTGCCATTTTTCAGACGATTCGAAAAATTTGTTTAGATCTTCCTGTAGTTTTGCGGGGTCCTCGTCAGATTTAATTACACGTCCTATTTTAGTGTCATCATCAAATTTACTTATGTTGCTGTCTATGCCGATATCTATGTCGTTTATGTATATGATAAATAATAATGGTCCAAGTACTGAGCCTTGGGGAACTCCACTAGTGACCTTGCTCCAATGGGATTTAGTGCCGTTAATGCTCACTCGCTGTTTCCTGTCCTGTAACCGTGCCCTAATTCATTTTAGAATATTACCTTTAATGCCATGTGCTTTTACCTTTTTTATTAGTCTTTCGTGAGTGTCATGGGTTGCTCTGGGCCTCCTGCACAACCCATCCCAAATTATTGTTTAGATAGAGATAATGTACCTGGCCAGCCGATAGGTCATTTGACGCCTCAAAACCACATTTTTGCCAGTGGGCTTTAGACCCTGGGTTAGAGAAGACCTCCTGCTCTGCGGATTTAGAACAGGAGCCATACAGTCCTACCAGTGCTACGAGTCTGTGTGTGCAAATCCCCAAGATTGTTGTTAAGTCCAGCGACAAGTTAACACATCCTGTAAAGGAAGTGATCAATGTTTGAGGGCCTGTTTGCTACAAGAGCACTCCAGGCCGGCCTAATAGATCTAAACGATTAATTCTCCAGGTTGACAAACTCTCCCTTATAACTTACGGTACTGTGGCGTGAATGTGAGTGACTGACCTATCCATGCAAATTATAAGTCCAGTGAATGGAATTGTGCCAAATAAACGTAAGTGCAATGATCTGCCCGTATCTGTGATCCCTCTATTATTATTATTACTATAGGTAATGACTGATTGGTTATGACAAAGTATAACCAATAACTTAGATGGATGTTGGAAATTAATGGAATTCATTAAATCATCATTTATCAAGTACACAACGCATTGAATGCCGGATGTAGAGTGAAATTCAATGTAGTGATACACCATAATCTCCTGGGTGAGTAACCAGTGTGAAGGTATCTGAATTTTACGGTAAGAAAACCACTTTCCTGCATTTAAAGCGTATCAGTGAGGGACTCTGTCGAAGGCTTTGCTAAAGTCGAGATATACCACATCATAATTGTGCCCCTCGTCCACCGATTCGAAAACTGATGAAAAAAATGTTAATAGATTAGTTAGACATGAATGCCCGCTTGTGAAGCCATGCTGGGAATCAGTGATCAATTTGTGCTTCTCCAGGTGGTTTCGAATAGAGTGAAATGATTGCTTCCAGTAATTTGCCTACAATTGATGGTAGACTGATGGATGGTAGTTAGAGGTTAGTGATCTATCCCCCTTCTTGAAAATCGGTATTACATTCGCTATCCTCCAGGATTCTGGTACTACACCTGTTTTTAAGGACATGTTAAACAACTTTGCTAAGGGCATACTAAGCTCTTCCCTACATTCCTTTAATACTTTGGCAAATATCTCATCAGGACCAGGTGACTTATTAGGCTTTAGTTTGTCGATTTGCTTACTAATATCGTTACTAGTCACTATTATCTCGCTTAAATTGTTTTCTTCACTATCTCTGAATAGAGTTGGTGCCTCGGGTATCATGTTTAAATTTTCCGTGGTGAAAACTGTTGAAAAATATTTATTCAGATTATTGCTCATTTCTCCGTCGTTATCAGTTAGCTCGCCGGTATCTGTCTGTATTGGCCCAATCTTTTCTCGTGTTTTAGTTTGATACATTTGATAGAATCCCTTGGGGTTTGTCTTCGCCTCTCTTGCTATCCTCAGCTCATTATTCCTCTTTGCTTTCCTTATCTCGGTCTTAACCCTATCGGTCAATACCTTATAATAATCCCTGAGGTAAATTTCGCCACTATTTATCCTC